AACCTCCTCCCCAATCTAAACATTTGTAGTTCCTTCAACTCTTTTTCTTTTCACATGATTTCAAGTCCCCTCAGCAGTTATACATTTTTTGCATGATGTCCCTTATGTTACTTCTTGTTCATAAGGCACAGGGCATTGTTAGACATGTGTTGCAGCCTATTTATACCCATCATTCATCTCTCTATTGGTTTCTGGGTCATTTGTATTTTTTATTTTTTTGAGATTCAGAAAACTAACCAACAAATCAACAAAATCAGACAACATATGAAATATTCTATACCCATACTCCTGCATATCTTCTAAGAAGGAAAGGAGCTACACTTTCTCATCTTTTCTCTGGTGCTAACTGTGCTCATTATAACTATGTAGTTTGCAATTTCTTCATCTTCTTTTCCTTTACCACCACCATCATCATCTTCTTCTTCTGTCACCGATGTTGCAGTTATGTATATTGTGTTCTTGATTTGTTTTACTTCTTTCTATCAATTATTGTTTTCATATATTTCATTACAGTACAGTAACAATGTATTGCTACAATATACCACAATCTGATTAGTCAATCTCTCAACTGATAGACGTTTACTTTATTTCTAGTTCTTTGATATTAAAAAAAAAGTGCTGCTATAAGTATTTTAGTCTATGTGAGACCTTTCTTTCTGTACTTGACATCCTTGGGGGATCCTTAGCAGTGGTTTCTCTGGGTCGAAGGGTATAGACACATTGACCACTTTTCAAAAAACAAAAGCAAAACAAAATTGCTTTCCATAATGTTTTCCAGAACCAAAGACAGATCCACCAATTATGTTTTACTGTGCCTGTCTTTTCATAATTTCAATCGACTATTTCTACCTTTTGTCATCTTTGTCAATTTACTGGATATGAGGTGAAAGTTAAGAGTTGTTTAGATTTGCATTTTTCTCATTACTAATGATTTAGAGGCTTGCTTATTTTCCTTTTCAAACTAAATTTCAACTTATTTATAAAATGTAAGAGGTGGAAATAAACAGAGTTTTAGTATTGATTGATTCTACCCATCACTTTTTTTTAGCTGGTAGGCAATTTTATAAGTATGAGACTGCCTGCTTTTCTACTTCACAACCAAATTCAGTTCATTTTGACTTAGAAGTTTCCAAGTGAATCATACCTTCATGAGACTTTAAGGGAGGGTGAGTCAATTCCACTATGTTACACAGTACCCTCAAAACCATCTGATTTATATGAATAACTACACTAATTTCAAATACTTCTAAGGAACAAGAGGTCATAACCTACTTTATAACTATGCCAGCACTTAACAATCATCATTGTCAGTCCTTAGGTCTAATCTAAATCTCCTATTCTTTAGTTGAAGCCAATTAACTCTTGCTTTGACCTTAGTTTACATTCTCAACCTTCTCTTTAACTGAATCACTTCTTCATTCCTGATAAGTCCTATTTTCTAAATTTTAGTTACCTTACTAACCCTGTGAAGTTGGAGACTCAAGGACTAAACAATATTTCAGGAAGAGGCTTAATAACACTGAGAAAAAATTCATCCTCATCAATCTAAGTGAAATTGTAATTGAATTTTGTCAACTACTACAAGACTCAAGTATCTAGCTGTGGATTGCCCTTAAAAATGCTTTCAATACTCTTTAAAAAATCTTCTGTTCTGAAGCCTTATCATATTCTTGCATATTCTACTGCTTTTGTTCAAGACATTTGGCAATGAAGTAATTTAGCTTCAAATGCCAAAATAATCAACTAACAAAAAAAATTCTTTTTCTTTGTAAATAGTGTTTTATTTTTTCCAATTACATGTATAGATAGTTTTCAATATTCATTTTTTTAAACAAGATTTTGAATTTTGGATTTTTTTCTTCCTCCTTCCCTCCCATACTCCCTTCCCAAGATGGCAAGCAATCTAATATAGGTAATGCATGTGCAATCACGCAAACACATACATGTTTACATGTAAACATACAATCATGTAAACATGTAACCAAAACAAAAGGGAAAAACCACAAAAGACCAAAAAAAAAAACCCCAAAGTGAAAATATTATGCTTTGATCTGCATTCAGACTCCATAGTTCTTTCTCTAGATGTGCATAGCATTTTCCATCATGAATCTTTTGTAATTGTCTTGGATCATTTGTATTGCTGAGAAGAGCTAAGTTAATTATAGTTATCATTGTAAAATGTTGCTATTATTATGTACAATGTTCTCCTGGTTCTGCTCACTTCACTCAGCATCAGTTCATGTAAGTTTTTCTAGGTTTTTCTGAAATCTGCCTGTCCATCACTTCTTATAACATAATAGTATTCCATTACATTCATATACCACAACTTGTTTAGCCATTCCCCAATTGATTGGCATTCTCTTAATTTCCAATTCTTTGCCACTACATAAAGAGCTGCTATAAATATTTTTGTACATGTGGGTCCTTTTTCCTTTTTTATGATCTTTTTGGGATATAGACCCAGTAGCGGTATTGCTGGATCAAAGGGTATGTACAGTTTGATTGAACTTTGGGCATAGTTTCAAATTGCTCTCCAGAATGGTTGGATCAGTTTGCAACTCCACCAGCAATACATTAGTGTCCTGATTTTCCCACATCTGCAACATTTATCATTTTATGTTTCTGTCATATTAACCAATCTGATAGGTATGAGGTGCTACCTCAGAGTTCTTTTAATTTTCATTTCTCTAATCAACAGTGATTTAGAGCATTAAAAAAAAAAAAACCACATTTCTTAAGCACCCAATATGTGATGGAGACTTTGATAGGTTCTGGGGATGTATATAGAGACAAAAGTGAAACACTTTTTGTCCGCAAGGAACTTGCATTCTAATGGAAGTAAGGATGATGCACATATAAATACATAAAAGTAGATACAAGGTAATGGGGCAGGAAGGAGGCATAGCAATTTAATAATAATAATAGCTAGGATTTATGTAGTGCTTTAGGTTATGCCAAGTGCTTTACTTGTAAAATATTATTTGAGCCTCATAACAACCCTCCAAGGTAGATGTTATCATTATCCCCATTTAATAAATGAGGAAACTGAGACTATAAGAGGTTAAATGACTTACCCAAGGTCATACAGCTAATAAATGTCAGAAGGCAGGATTTGAAGGTCTTCCAGGTATCAAGTCTAGCACCCTGTGCACTGTGCCACCTAGCTGCACTAACAGCTTGGGAAAACTGGATTTGTGTAGAGGATGATGCTTTTGCTAAATATTGAAAAAAACAGAGGATTCCAGGAAGCAGAGATGAGGGCATATTATGTCCAGGCATAGGGGACAGCCAGTGAGCAAAGATACAAAGACAGTAGATAGAATGTTATGTGTGAAGAATTGCAAAAATGTCATTTTGGTTGAACTGAACTGTGCTTGGAGGGAAGGCAAGAAAGACTGAGTTTTAAGGAACTTTAAATGTCAAAAAGAGGAGCTGAAATTCAGTTCTAGGGAGTCACTGGAATTTGTTGAGTGGGGAAGTGGTTTAGGAAAATCATTCAAGTGGCTCTTTGGGGAAAGGCTTGGAGTAGGGAGAGATTTGAGGGAGGAAGATCAATTAGGAGATTATCGTGATAGTTCAGGTAAAGGGATGAGGGTCAATTCAGTGTCGAAACAAATACTGTTGTCAGTCTTCTTAACTTATTTTACAAATACATTTTCTTCAAACGTGTCAACTCTCTACATCATGTGATGGCTAAAGTTTAAACTACAAATTGAAAATTATCTGGTTAATTTGACTACTAAGTAGAGGTTTGCCTAATTATAACCTTATAGGATTATAAATCTAGAGTCAGAATAATGACAATAGTGAAAATAGTAGTAGTAATAATAGCTAGCATGTATATAGTGCTTTAAGGTTTGCAAAGTGATGCACGCATAGGACTTTGATTCTTACAACAACTCTGAGGTGCTATTATTATCCTCATTTTATAGATGAGGAAACTGAGAATGATGGATGTAAAATAGCTTGCCCAGGGTCATGCTGCCTGAGGCAAAATTGTAACTCAGGTCTTTCTGTCTCCAAGTCAGCCCTCTATATACTCTGCCACCTACCTGAAAAGGATTGCAGCTGTCATCTACTCTGAACTCATTTTACAGATGAGGAAGCTGGTCAAGCAGGTAGTAAGTGTCAGAGGTAGGAGAGAAAACCAGGCCCTCTACCTCTAGAATCTGTTCTCTTTCCAGAACATGTTATGGCACAGTATAGACCCTGCTGGATGTGGATCAAGGAAGATCTGGATATGCAATAACTTTTTTCAGTAAGCTGAGCTTTAATAACACTTGCAATTTGGCTAGATGTGGTAAAGTTAAAGGCTTTTTAGTGGCCATGATAATTTTCATCTTTTATTTGTTCCTACTTAGCTGCAAGCCTGTTCTTCGTTTAGTAGTGCTGCCTTTTGTGGACTAAGATATAACCAAAAAAGGCAGTTTGAAAGAGATGGAATATGTCCCCATAATTTTGTGAGTGAGAACCACAGCTGAGCATAGGTTTGGCCAAAAAATAATAATAAACTGTTTGGAAACTTTTATGACGGGAAAATAGAAGAACACTTGTGAAAAACAAGAGCTTGGCAAAATTCTTGAACCTGAGTGATAGCTATTCATTCAGCAAAGGAGAAAATATCATGAAGGATGAAGTATCAGTTTTGTGGTAATAATGAAAGATTTAGTCAAACCTCCTTTGTCCGGTAGGGCATAGTTAGCAGTCACCCTGGGCAAGTCATTGCACCTTAGTCATCTCTACAAAGTGGTTTACTTTGAAAATATGGAGGATTTAGTGTTTTTGTCCAAGAGCAAGGTTATCTCTATTTTAAAAATATTGCTATTTTGAATATTAGTCAATTCCTAGGAATAATTGATTATTGGCCAATTTAATATTTTATTATCTTTCTAGTGTTTCTAATAGAATTTAAAAAATAAACAGACCTATAGTGGTGATTTCAGTATACAAGTGTAAAGTTGAAACAGAGGCAACTAACTCATTTGTTTTTGCCCTCCCAGGAATCCGGAAGGACCGACGAGGTGGGCGTATGTTGAAGCATAAGCGCCAAAGAGAAGATCAGGATGGGAGAAATGAAGCAGGTCCCTCGACTGACATGAGAGCTTCTACCCTTTGGCCAAGCCCTCTCTTGATAAAACATACCAAGAAGAATAGCCCGGCCTTGTCCCTGACAGCTGACCAAATGGTCAGTGCCTTGCTGGAAGCCGAGCCACCGATACTCTATTCTGAATACGATCCAAATAGACCTTTCAGTGAAGCTTCAATGATGACTTTATTGACCAATCTGGCAGACAGGGAGCTTGTTCACATGATCAACTGGGCGAAGAGGGTGCCAGGTAAGGATGCTGAGTCTGAGTCTTTGTGGTAACAGCATAAAACTTTTTGCAGATTGATGGGAGAACCATTGAAAGTGACAACTTTTCATCTACTTAATTTCCAGATAATCTCCAAAATAATTGATATTAACTGATAGATATTTCTTTTAAAGTTTCAGGATTAACATATCAGAATTCCCTTGAAAATTAGGCAAAGATTTTAAAGTACTGTTGAGACAATAAAATTCTAACAAATTCACTGAACAGTAATGGAGGAGGATAAGGCTAAGCATTAAAAAAAGATTGATGTGCTATGAAATCTTTCATGTTCAAGATTATTATTAAAACACTTCTATTATTAGTAAATGCCTCTGATTTTAAAAAAGCATCTCATGTTATGCTATTGTCAGTAGACTAATAAGATCCCAATAGAAGATTATGAATCAACAATTATTTATAGAGTGTTGATTTTTTTCCCAGTGCTGGCTAAGGTTGTGTTGGATAGGTACGCGGGACAAGTGTAAAACAGGATCCCTACCTTCAAGGAGTTTTCAAGAAGATAGCTTTTCAAAAAAGAGAATCGAGGGATAAATTATGCTCTTTGGCCCCATAGTTGGTCTATTTCTGTCAAAATTGGCATGCTGATCCTGAGAAGCAAGTTTTATTGTAGTTCTTTGTGCTGTCCCCTTTCCCACACTTATATCTACAATCATGATCTAATGCAGATTAAGACAAAGAGACATGAACTTTTGTTTTCTGAGGTGACACAGCAAGTCACTGGTGGAGCTGTATAGAGATACTCTACTTTTTGCTTTTTTAAAAAATTAGACAAGAACAGCTATTATCTAAGTAAAATTAATTTTTATGTAGTACAAACTTGTAATTATTTGTAGTTCTATACTTGACCTAAAGTCACATTTCACCCCCATGAAATATAGTTGTACTATGTTTAGAAAATATCATATATAATATCAACAAGTAAAGATAAATGTCCTCTGAATATGAAGACAGTGTGGCAATGACCCACATTCAATAGACCATATACTTAAGGGTTTATTTTATTATTATTTTTTAAGTATTGGATTTGTACGATTCAACCAAACACTTTCCATTAGTTCTTGCCTTACTTCTCTGTCAGTTTCAAATTGATATCAATAAATGACCAGCAGCATTCATTTGGAAGATGACTAGGGTTAAGTGTAGTCTGTAGCTATGGAACAGAAAAGGTCTAACTGGCCCATTTCTGAATTAAATTCATGAATTTGTGCTAATTAGAATCATGTCCTAATTAGTTGAACTAGTAACTATAGATTAATGTTTATATAAAGGAAGTGCAATTAGCAAATTCATGAATGATAGTCTTATTTACATTTTTAGCATTAATGTTAACTGTTTGAGCTTTTACATCCTTATTAGTTAGCTATGTCTATCACTGAATAACAATCATTTGAAATTCAACAAATATGTTTGATTTTCACATATCTTTTTTGGCTGGAATCAAGTTTCAGTCAATATATTTTCATACTGACAAGGAATGAGGTCTTACTTGGGCTAAGACATGTTTGTTCTTCATAATACTTTTATGACTAAAGGTCCATTTCATGATTGGCTAATTGTTCTTCCCTGCTGAAGTGATACATCAAGACTTTTAGAACATATTTTCAGTTCAATAGCCCCCTCCCTTCACCATATCCAATCAGTTGTAATATCCTGCCATTTCTGCCTTTGAAACATCTCTCATGTATGACCCTTTCTCTTCTCTGACACTGCCACCACCCACTGGCACAGGCTGTTGTCACATCGTGCCTAGACTTCTGTTATAGCCTGCAGGTTTTTCTTCCTGCCTCAAGTCTCTTCCCATTCTGATCCATTTTCTACTCATCTATCAAATTAATCTTTCTAAAACAAAGGCATGGACATACCACTCCTTTATTAAATAAACCCGTGTGGCTCCCTATTACCTCTACGATAAAATATAAAATCCTCTGTTTGACGTTTTAAAGCCATTCATAACTTGGCCCCTTCCTACCTTCCTGATCTTCTTACATTTTACTCCTCACCACATCCTTGTTTCTTGAGCATACTATTCCATCTCCTGACTCAGTATTTTCACTGGCTGTCCCCCCTTGCTGGAATTCTCTCTGTCCTCATCTTAGCCTCTTGGCTTCCTTCAAGCCTCAGCTAAAGTACCACCTTCTATAAGCTTTCCCAGTCTTCCCTTAATCTTAGTGCCTTCCCTCTGATACCATCCCCAGTTGATCCTGCATATATCTTATGTGTAACCTGGCATGTTGTCTCCCCCATTGGACTGTGAGCTTCTTGAGGTGAGGGACTGAGTTTTTCATTTTTCTTTTTCCTTTCTTGGTATTCCCATTGCTTAGCACAGTGTTTGGCACATTGTAGGCATTGAATAAATGTTAGCTGACTGACATAAGCTAATGGATTTTAGAGCATTTGTAAATAGAAAGCACTACCTCAATAAGACTGTGATCTTTAGCACAAAATATTGATAAAAGTCTTTTGAATTAAAGAACTCAGAATTATATAATAGAGTTATAGCTCTTGAAATAATCTTGAGAAGTCATCACTAACTAATCCAAACCTCACTTCTTGTTGTAGATCCATTTAAACCTTCCCATAAATAATATACTTGTGTAATACTCTTGAAAGTCTTACAGCACCACTTGAAAGCATTAGTCAAAGAGGTTGGTCCTCACATGTTTAATCCAGCTGAGGACAGAATGAAAATTTAGGACTTTTTAGTTTCTAGTTCTACAATTATTGCCTTTTCGTTTTTTATATATTCACAATATTTTACGTTGTATAGAAAGAAGTTAGAGGAAAACAGAAGAAGCTTGGCTTCTCTCTGGCATACATGCCTTTCTTTCTAGTGACCTTATGTATGTACAGTCAGTTTTAAAGACATGAAAGGATGTAATTTTAGAGAGATCTTCCTTAGATAGTTGACATATCTCTGGACTTAGATTGTCCAGTTCTGGCCTCTAGGATAGGCCACCTGGGAGTGGGGGTTTTATTTCGTGTCCCCAAATCTCTAAGCTCTCTTACATGCAGTGAATCTAGGAGATTAGATAAAAGAAACCCAAAGTAGTATGATGGTTGGCTTCGGTTCCCTTTGCATCTAAAGATATTTCTTTCCTCAATTTGAAAGATGAAAAAGTTGATATCAATATTACTGATTGCTCATTCCCTCCAACTGTGAAATTGAACAACTGTTGGTTCTTAAAGTATTGTCCTTTGATCTGGTAATATATTTCCCCTCTACCTAAGGAATTCTGGACAAATTTAAAGAATCCAATACATTCCTTTTTTTTACCCTTTTCAATTAATAGTGATCATTACATTTTTCTAATAAAAAAAGGGAAATTTGAAAAGCATCTAAAAGAGCTGATGTAAAGTTCAGTTCTTACTGATAAGCATAGATGGATCATATATAGCTATCTCAACCCAGAAATAGAGAATGGATCAAATGGAGCTGAAAAATATTAGGCCCTCTCTTAGCTGTTTTACCCATAACTATATAAGTTTATAATAATGGAATATCTAGGGTTTGTGAATATCTGCTCTGTGACTTGATTGCTATTTTTAAGACCCAAATAATTCTTTAAACCTGAGAGCAAAATATATCTTGTTACTTGAATTTTAAAACAAACAGACCCAAATGAAATGTATTTTTATGAAATTTCATCCCCACAGCTGTTAAAAATCAGAATTATACTTGTCTGACCATGCAGAAAATAAAAATAGCTATAGACTTAAGAAAAGCAAAGAAATGAAGTTTTCTGAGGCAGGAAAAAGTATTTAAAGTTGGTTTACAAGTTTTTGAGAAGGATTTACAAAGGAAAAATTCTGAAAACATCTTTTGCCTGAATGTCGTCTGTCTCCATTTAAAGCTCTATCCCATCCTGAGAATTCTAGTGTTACAAAATTATAATTTTCTGTGCTAATAAAGGGGACCCTGGCCCAAATAATCAAATAATAGATAATACTTCAACCTAGTAGTAAGATAAACTTGGGAATCCTACTTCTTGGAGTATAGTGGGATGTATAGAGGAACCTCTGAATTGGATGAATGATAGTGAAATCATCCAGGAAACATATATAATTCTCAATGTGTATATTCTAAGAGCATGCTTGATGCTAACACTCCCCTGCTCAATAAATTCCCCTATGACCTCTAGAATTAAATACAAACTCCTGTGCTTGGCATTTAAGGACTTTCATGATCTGGCTTCAACCTACCCTTTAAATCTTATTACATATTACTCCTCTTTACATCTTTGTTGGTCCAGTCAAGTTAGCCTTCTTTGCCATTTCACACTTGAATTTTTTGCTTTCCATCTCCATGACTTTGTAGCAGTTGCCTCCAATGCATGGAATACACTAGCTTCTCACCTCTGCCTCTTAGATTGTCTAGCTTCCCCCCCCCCCAAAAAAAAAATCAATCCAAATGGAACCCCTTATAAGACACCTTTCTTAATCAACCTCCCTTTCTTTGAATTCCTCTTCTCCAACATTACTTTACATTTATTTTTATGTATCTGTATTGTCACATAGTATACATATTAACTCATTATACAATCTCCTTGAGGGAGAATCAAGAAATTCCTTGAAGACAGAGACTTTCATTTTTGTCTTCATAATTCTAGTGCTTAACACAGTACTCAATAAGTTTTTGATAAAATGTTTGGTTGATTGATGATTGGATTGATGGGAAAAATAAATTGCCCGAATATTTTTAGAAACCGTGTTCTATTAACATCATAAGATCTGATACATTTTGAATGGGCATGCTGTTATTTTAATCTCTTGAATGTTTAGAAGAGGCAACTTGGATTTTAATAAGGCATTCTAATGAGTCAGGATATCCTTGTGGACTTGATTCTTTGCTATCTTGAATAGTGTTTCTAAGTCTTACATCTTGAAGGGATGTGAAGAAAGACAGTTTGGAGGATTTTTTTTTTTAATCTAAAGAGGAGTTTGAGGGGTCATCCAGTACAAGC